GCTAAGTTTGGTGAGGTTGGCTTTGAATTTGTGATCCACCTGTCTCAGACTCCCAATCCACTGGGATTACAGGCATGTGCTGCCTCACCCAGCACCAGGGAACTCTTAAGAACATTCCAGACTGAGGATGCCAAACCCAAAGCATTTTCCTGGTCCTCCAGGGGCCCTAGATTGTCCTTCTACCAGTGGTGGCACCCTGAGGCACACAGCCTCCACTGGGTCTGTTTATTCCTGGAAGCTCACAGTGTAGTTTCTGCCTCTCCTCCTAGTGCCTGTAGTACCCCTCCATCCCCTGCCACCTGCACTACCCCCCCTCCCCACACTCCCTCTGCTGCCCACACATAGCCCATTGCCTAACCTTTAGGTGATGCCTATCATTTATATTCATATTTTGGAAGTACCTGACACACAGTTCAAGAACATTCCTCAGCCCTCACCCTTCTGTCGGTTACCTTTGATGACAGGTGAGTCCCCAGAAGCAGAGTGTAAACAACATAAGACCCTTGCTGAGGGAATGCTGATGCCATCACAGACAGCAGGGGCCACCCTTATCACTCCCTCTGAGGGGCAGATGTGAAGGACTCCTGCTTGAGATCAGGAGAGAGCCATAGGGATGGTCAGGTGACTTATTATATTATTAGTACTGTTATTATCATTTACCCTGTCACATCTTTTTGGTATTTGCTCTAAAAGCCAGATCCGTGGTGTTTGTAGCTACTTGTGTTCAACATTTGTGATGATGTATTTCAGACATTTTAAAATGAAAGTTGCATTTTCCAGCTTTTTTAGAGAGGGACATTTGTCACCTTCAATTGTCAATAACTGAATAATAATAATACATCAAAAGACCTACTGACCTTAATTAGAGAATAGGTTTAGAAATAAGTTAAGAAAATGAAATAATTCATAAGGTTATGAGGAAGTACAAGAAAAAAATTCTTTTCTTCCTTGTAGACAGTGAAGCATTTAAGGACACTAGAATTTAAGCCCTATGTGATATTTATAAAACCACCATCAATAGAGCGTCTGAGAGAGACAAGGAAAAATGCAAAGATTATTTCAAGCAGAGACGACCAGGGTGCTGCAAAGCCCTTTACGGTGAGTACAAAGATGTTAGATGGTTTCTAAGCAGTGCGTAAAAGCATACGTGCATCTGTGGCTACTCAGGAAGGCTATTAAAGACAAAGCTGTGATACAAAAATCTGTAAAAGGTAGAATTGTATTTAGGTACATATTTTGAACTATTGCACTATTAATTTCTTTTTGTAATTCTGTGAATGCAGCTTCATATTAAATTAACTATTTTTGTATGTTATTATATGTATATATTAGATTTTTCTAGGCCAAACATTTGTTAAAATTAGGTTAATTATTTTTCAGATTAGCCTTATATTTAAAGATAAAAGTATCCAAATCAGTTACTGCTCTTTCTAAATAGTCTAAATGAAAAACATAATAACTTGCCTATTCTCCTGGTATAATATTTAGCACTATAAAAAGAAAAGGCACCATTTGAGGAGAAAACTAGTAGACTATGTTATTATCTAACAGTGCTATTTGTATTTCGTAGGAGTGTTATTGGAAATGGTAACTGTGATGTGTCAATGGTTACACTGACTTCTGGCAAGGCTTTTTATTGTTTTTGTTTTCAATCTTCTCAAGATAATGTATTCTACCTTTGGATCAAAATAAGTAAAGAAGTTAAATGTTAAGAACACCCCCCCTTCTATTTAACTTTAGTCTCTATTAATCTGTATACTTTTAATTGTGATTACAAATACAGATTATGTTTATGATTCCCAATATTTGATCTTTTTTCAAAATGCTAACAGTATCTATTTATGCTGAGTAAATGTTAACATATGACATTAGTTACTCAAGGTTTTTGATTAACACTAACGTTAAATTTTCTATTGGGAAATCATAGGTGATATTGCAATGTGGATTCTTAAATTATTTCAGTATGTGGCAATAAAGAATTATTATCTTATTATAAATTTAAAGGTTTTCTTGGTGAAGATAAATGATAATATGTTCTTGGGATTTGTCCCACTACCTTTATGTATATACTTACATAGCCTTAAGTTTTATAGCCAGGTAAAATAACTTCCTGATGTCAAAAAATGTGGCTCTTGAAGCACTTCGAATGAGCCAAAAGAAGGATATACTAACTATTCTTTTATAACGTATCCATCCATGAAAATGTTTGTGTTGTAAATTCCTTCCTATATGTAAACATAAATAATGCCACAAACCAATGCATAAGAGTCAGCAGTTCTTTTTTCCCCAAGTAGCTGTTTTAATAACCACATAACCATGTAATGATAAGTTAGTGACTATATATCCTGAAATTTAGTTAAGGTGGGAGTTTTGGATCTTCTCAGAGGAGTTTAGTTATAAGCAGATCAGAGAAAAGAATATTAGAGGTTATGACATCTGAAGAACTAGTGGTTAAAGAAGGTAATTTTTTTTGCTGGATGAGGTGAAAGGCTAAATCCAGAACAGTATTAGGTAGGGATACTAATGCTAAAAACAGTATTAGGTAAGAACTGTAGAATGTTTACAATGGTGTGAAATGATGTAAGTGCCTGGTTAACCAATTTTTTAAAAAAAATACTTCCTTTTGTAGGAAGAAGACTTTCAAGAAATGATTAAATCTGCACAGATAATGGAAAGTCAATATGGTCATCTTTTTGACAAAATTATAATAAATGATGATCTCACCGTGGCATTTAATGAGCTCAAAACAACTTTTGACAAATTAGAGACAGATACCCATTGGGTACCAGTGAGCTGGTTACATTCATAATTACAGGAAGTTTCCACACTTGTGTGTGTATGTGTTTTGTTTTTAATAGAATGCATGATTAAATCAATTGCCATTTTGGTGGTAGAGTTTTTTAATTATATCACTATCATAGATGTATAATCTTTGTAAAAATTGAATACTTGTTTAGTTTGTATCTTTTCACGGCCTTATTTGAAATACGTGTGACTCTAAAATCTAAGAATCCACCTTTGCTCAGTACTATATTCTGAGCAAAACTTTGGACCTTCCAGTTCTCTTTAATATATCTCTATCTGCAATGGGAGGTTGAATTTTTTAAAGAGATATAGCTAGAGACAATATATATAGACGTTCTGTACTTCAGAAGGTCTCAGACATGGCCACTGCTATTTAATCTGTATGCCCTTAGTTGAAGGTATTAACTGAACAGTTTCAAAAACCTCTACAGACATGTCAGCTCTGAATTTTCAGGTGGTCACCATGGACTTAACTGGGCTGGCAATAAGACATAGTCTTCTTACTACTTTAAGAATGCAAACTTTTTCTTATGTCTACAAAATACGTTCACAGTGTGTACATTTTAAAATCTTAGAGGAGTAACTGAAAATTTACCTTGAGTGAGTGACCTCATATTATAATTTTAGAGTAGTCCTTATAAGTATGTATCAGTGACATAACACGTAAGAAGGGAAAACAGAGTTTTTGTTTGTTTGTTTGTTTGTTTTTAATACAGGGGTCTCTCTCTATAACCCAGGCTGGCCTAGAATTTACCATCCTCCTGCCTCACACTCCCAAGTAGCTGGGATTACAGGTGTGTGCCACTACACCTGGCACAGACAGTAGACTTTTAAAAATTATTATAAATATAACTCATAATCTTTCCATATGGTATTAAGAGTGGGGAAGAAATAATTATAAAGGACAGTTTTATTTGTAAATTCTCAGAAGACATTGCTGGAGTCACCAAAAAGGTATTTTGAGAAGGCTTTGGATTTCCCCAATAAATTATAAAAATGTTATTCCTATTCTAAACTATGTAAAATATGTTTTATATGTTAGTGATAGTTAAAAAATGATCATTTTTTCAATTTGTGCAGTTGATCACCATATATGTAAATTGTGCTCTGTTTTAGAAAACTTTTTGTGTAATGTAACTTTTGTCACCAGATGATTCTTAACACTGGCCATATACCATCTTAACCTAAAGAAGTATAAGAAGGGCTGGGGATGTAACTCAGAGGTAGAGCACTTAGCTAGCATGCACAAGGCCTTGGGTTTGATCCCCAGCACCACAAATAATAATATTAATAATAAAAGAAGAAGAAGTAGTAAAAGAAAGACCCTTATATTGTAAAATATTTAGATAGTATCTCTTGTCTTTCTTTGGTACTATTGATTTTCAGAAAGTGAATTATATAATTCAAAATACTACAAATGTCTATAAGTTCTGTAAGAGAACATGTCCTGCTATTTTTGCATGTAGAAAGATCTTGCCAATCAAAACTCACTGCATCTACGACTTTCATACAAAAGAATTATTTTTTGTCACTTTGTAAAGAATTTAGATGTCACATTTAAAAAATATAGAATGTAGTAAAATTTTATATATTTATGAAATATTTGAAAGGCATATTTTTTTAATTATCAAATGGGGCTCTCCATAAAATAAATTGACTATATGTAAAGATATCATAATTTAAAATAGTAGTTTTATAGATCAAGGTCAACATTCCATGTAAATATTTGACCTTTACACAGTTAGATTCACAAGTACATTATATATACACTGCACATTTGGTAGCATTCATCACTGGATTTATTTCAGACATGTCTAATTACATACTAGAAACAGGAACAAAAACTACTTCAATAGCCCTGATACATAGTCACATCCGAGGTAGTCAGACTAAATCGTATTTAACAACATAAACCGGGTGAGTTCTAAATTTATTAAATACCAAACCATTTCATTAAAAAAAATGAGGGAAAGGTTACCAGATCTCACATTGTAGCCATTCTTAGTTATATAGCTCCTCTAAGAGAAGTGCAAGTCTGTTTTGGGTAGAAAGCATGGAATCATGCTTTGAACATTGGCTAAAATTTCCAGTGAAATGAGACTTCCTATAAAAAGAATGTGGGAAATGTATAATAGTATAGGCAATCTTCTGAATAATTTATTCATCCTAATTTCTTTACTCTGAAATATCTACATTGTTTTTTTTTTCCCCTGCATTTCCAGATAAATGCCTCAATTCATTACTTTAGGGATAGAGATAGTGGAGGGTAGTGGAAACTGAGTCCTTCCAGGTGGTGGTGGTGATGGCTACATTAGGAAACTACAACTCTACAGATCTTTGTCCTTTTTTGGACCAGAACTGAAAAAAATGTTTTTAAAATAATGAAAAGAAGGACAATTTGAAAAATCAGGTAGTATACATAGTCTTATAAGTGGTGTTTGTGGGTGCTTAGAGATTGGATTAAAATTTATATAAGGCAGGCCAGCTCCAAGGACTTGTTGATAACTGTAGCAAAAAGGGCCTGGATTCTGTCCTTCACCCTCATCCACCATTTCCCCTGAGGAAAAGAGCACTGTACTCCCAACATGGAATGTCAGCCACTATTTGACAGAAGGGGATGATTAATTTTCAACTGTGTGTTTTAAAATCCAGAACCAAGAAGGAAATTCTTTTTTCTCATGATTGACAAATTAGTTAAAAATAAAAAAGGTGCAATTGAAATACAAGTTTTTGCTATGGCTTTACTAGTCAGTGTAGAAATTCTTAGTATCTTTAAGGCTGACATTTCTTGTATTGAGTAATGATTGAATGTATCTAAATCTGACAAACTGTAAACTCAGATTTATGAAACTATGTTATTAAAATATTCCTGAAGATAGATTTTTATTATTTATTTTCTTTTGGATAAGAAAGGACAATGGAAAGCCCTTGGTTTTAATAAAGTATCTATAAACAGTATGTGTACTTGAAAATTCTTTTGCACTTGAATATTCAATTTATACTGTTTTCCATGGTAGGACAAATTCTTTTCTGCTGTGATATGAAGTGATTTATTTCAATTTGGCATGTCTAAAATTAAGTTTTCTGTTTTTTCAAACAACGCTCTTATCAAAGTTGTTGGAGACACCAGATTCACTAGTCTTGCTCTTACCCATAAATACCACAGCATAAAGATGTGGAGAAATAGAGTGGTTTGGATGATCCAGGACCATCCATGATGGGAACACACCTCTGCTTCCCCACTTCCTTTTCCCCCACCCCATCAGGACTGTTACATCTTCTTCCTGACCCAGTTATGCAAAACTGAACTTGTTCAGCTATACCTTTAAGAATACACTATCTTCTCTTATACAGGCAGATGTTTTTCTTGCTGCAATAGTTCAAGCCCTGCTTCCACATAAAGATTTTATAATGACGTACCAAATAAAAGTTTGGGATTTGCCAGGCACTAAAGCATATATCTGCAATCTCAACTACTCAGGAGACTGAGGCCAGGAGCATTGCAACTTTGGTCTCAGCCTGAACAACTTTGCAAGACCCTGTCTCTAAATAAATTTTAAAAAGGGATAGGAATGAAAACTTGTTTGTAGAACACTTGCTTAACATGCATGAGAACCTGGGTTCAATCCCCAGTTTTGTTGAGAAGCAAGGATATATATTTTTTCATATATATTTTATGTATAATTCATTTATAAATATGTGTGTGTTCATATTCATATGGATGAACTTGGGATCTGAAGCCAGAATTCTGGCTTCAGATCCCAAATTCATGAAATTCTGGTTTTTGCCCATTACCAGTGTTGCAACCTTGGGAACCCAAAAAAAAAAAAAAAAATCAAATGTCTCTGGTCTTTATTTTCTCATCAGGAAAATATAGGTAATAAATAGATATTTCCTCATAGGATTGTTGTAGGCATCAAATGACAGAATCCATGTTAAGTACTTAGAGCTAAATCTGGAATTGTGAGCTCCTGTTTTTTATAATGGTCATTATCACATCACACAATTTAAAAATGGGTATGTAAGTATTCTTAATCACCCTAAATAGTTCCCTTATTATAATAGTGAACTCATTAGAATTTCCTAATAATTTCTATTATAACTTTATTCTTTTAAAAAATCCCATTGCTTCCAACCAAATATAGGAACTAATTAGGCAATACCCAAAAGAAAACCAAGTCAAATTTTATTTTTAAACACTGAATATGACGCAATATGCTTGATAATAGTTTGAAAGAAATACCTCGTTTCGTTGCTGTTTCTTCTGCTGCCACCTTTCCTCAATGTTTGCTTGGTTACGGAAGCTTCTGGAAGCTATTTTTTAGAAGAGCTGTCTTAGAGACATATATTAGCCTAATCATTGCCTGATCAAATTGCACTGTATTAATCTTGGAAGGTCTGTGTGATTTCCATGCACTATCTCATTTAATTCTCACAATGATCTTATGTGGATGACATATTATCTTCATATTTAACAGATGAGAGAACTGAGAGCTTCAGTACTTTGCCCAAGGCCACATAGGAGATGAAGTAGAATCAGGGTTTGAATCATTGTCTGGCTTCCTCCATCTCCATGAGATTTTTACTCAGTTGTGCTTCCCTGTGTCGATAGAACTTGAGATAAAGCTGGAAACTTGTGTAAGAGATGAATAATTAGGAGAACAATCATTCATCTTTACTTTTGAATGCACCTGCCTAACAGTTTTCTCAGAACACTACTGCTTTGATCAGATATACCTTAAAGTATCTATGCCTGTTTGAGTGGGTTAATCACAACTAGTGGCTATGATCAGAAGCATACAAAGACATGTACTAAGTTGCTCTAAGTACTTTACATAGTAGGCAATTGTTTGTTTAGTCTCAGTCCCAGTCCTTAGTGATGACTCATGATTTGTAAGTCAGTCAATCTCCTATGGTGAATGATCTGGGCTGGTCATGCTACCAGCTCCAGATAATGCGTTGTCTGTTGGAGGAGGAAGACACATTTCTCTGATTTAAACAACTGCATGAAGTGAAAATACTTTGTTTCTGCCCCCATCCTTCCTGCTTGAGATGCCTTGGTTATGTTGTGTTGCTTGTTAATAGGATAGCCATAATTCTACCCCTACACTAGAGAGGATGGTAAAGCCCATCATCATCTGAGGATGACTGAATAGAAAAGAGAAAAGCCCTAAATCCATTAAACCATTGAGCTGCTGAATCAATCCGAAGATTTCTTTCCTATAATTGTTGAAGAAAAAAAATGTTATGATGGTTTAAGTCATTGTTGGGTTTTTTGTTTTTCTTGCTGCTGAAAACACTCAAAAGTAGTACTCATGAGCAATGTAGACCACTGTCAATATCTACTTTCACTTACCAAGCTTGTCATATGCACTCCTGGATATAATTCTTTAATTTTAAAACATCCTAGAAAGAGACTGCAAGAGACTGCATTCAAAATGTGTTTTTCTTGGGTTTTACTATTTTTTCCAGTACAACATGAATGGGAAACCTTAAAATTCAAGTTATAACAAATTTGTTCTTCAGTGTTTGGACTTATAAATTTATCATGGTTTGGTTCTAATTTTATCAGTTGCTCAAAATATTATATAAACTAAAAGGCTAACCAAACACTACCCGAGTCTGCCATTTTGAAAGAGAGGTATGTCATTTTTAATCTGATTTGGGCAATAAAAATGTGAAAAGTTTCCATTCATTGAGCCTTTGCTCTATATACTCTCACCTTACTGATTAATACATGTAAGCTGTTTATGCACATCCACCTAAATATAGAAAAGTTCTAAATAGAAATATATTTAGATAATTCTAGGAACTATGGCTACAAAATGAAGCGATTCCTATAAATGTTAAAGCTGGATATGAAAATAGGTAAATATTAGAAATCTAGAAGATACCCAAATAACAGGTTGAAAGAGGGAAGCAATACTGAATCATTGTTTCTTAAGATTTTGTAAGCAATCACCCACAGAACTCTAGAGTAAACACTAGGAGAATCAAAGAGAATCCCTAAAGTGAGATAATGGAAGCAAGATCATGTGTATCTCTTAACAACAGTTTTAATTGGCATAAATTCATGTATATTGAGACAACTTGAAAAGTTACACCACATCAGAAAATGAAACCAGTCATTTGCTTCTAAAAGAGAAAGGTTTCAAGTTAACAAGATTGGTGACAATATGAAACAGAGAGGATATTAATAATACCAGCATTGAGTTCAGTGTTCACCAATTGGGTCAAAAAGTCAATCTTCAGTCATTAGTAGTGTAAGTCATAAAAAGAAGAACATTGAAGACGTTAAGTAAAAACTCAATAAGCAACCAATAAAGCCACATTACTTGTTAATCTGTAAAATGTTCTCATAGACCTTGAACAGAAATGGTTATAAAGGGTCGTTGTTCCTCAGGTTGATCTCATAGGTGTGGAAAGACTATTTTGTCCTGAAAACTGTGATTACACTATATTCAAGAGTTTCATTGAGCATTTACAAAATATAGTCCTTAAAGTAGGCCACTAGGAAAGACTCATTAAGTTCCAAATTATTTACCTCAAATTAAATTTTCTGACCATGGTCCAATAGAACTAGAAATGAAGGAACAACAATCATAAAGACCTAGAAAGATTTTTTTTTCAATTTTAAGATATTTTGGTCAATGAGGAAACAAAAATGAAATTGCAGATTATATAGAAAATAATGAAACTAACAGTCTGTGGAATAGGACTGAAACTGAGTTCAGGAAAATTTGTCACTTTTAAAACTTATAAAAAATAAAAATAAACATTGGCTCAAAGAACTCGGAAAAGAATAACATGAGTAGTATTTTGGCTACGTTATTATATACACTGAATTTTCCAGGAATGCACTACCATGTAAATCAAAGGAAGATTATGCTTTATTTTTTTTTAGGACTTTACCTAGAGCTTTTCACAATTTTGGAATATCATGTCACTAATGACCATGCCACTGGAGGTGTTTGGGTCTTTAACAGTGCACATCTGTACCAGACTGACAGTGGCCTACACAATGTCTTCCTGCATTTGATTACTGTTGCCTGCCAGGGAAGTGCAAGCCAACATATATATTATTTTTTTCAATATCTTTCCTTTTATTTTCCCCTTTCATTGCAATAGAGTTTCTTTTAATTAAGCAGATTATAGTATTTGTGGATTTCATTTCAGGATAGAGAAAAAAAAGGATCCTACAAAATTCTCTTTCAGAAAGAGACTATAATAGGGTAGAGAATCATTGCTTAAGATGCAAGTTCATTCAAGCCCCACCTATTTCATACACTAAAGCTTGTCTGTTAGCTTTGCATTTACTATTACAAAATGCTTAAGAAAATCAATAGAAATAAGAGTTTATTTTGGCTTACAATTTTAGAGGTTTCAGTTCATAGTCCTTTGGCCTAGTTGCTTTTGGGCCTGTGGTGAGGCAGCACATGATGGCAGGAGCACGTGGCAGAGGAAGCTGTTCAGATCAGGGCAGCCGGGAAACATAGAGGGAGAAGGAGACCAGCATACAACAATCCCCTTCTAACACACATCCCCAGTGAAAACCTCCTACGAGGCTCCATCTCATAAGGTTTCCATCACCATTCATTGCCCAAGCTGGGAATTAGATCGTTAACCCCTGGGCTTTTGTAGGGGACATCAAGATCCAAACTATAGCAGAGCTTCACTGCCCATCCTTTCTTAATATTATATTTTATGTGATTAATGTGTCATAGCATAAATAGTATACTCAAATAATATTGCTACAAACAGATGATGAGGAACAAAATGCCTTTAAAGTTATTCTCAAAAAAATATCTAATAGGATTGAATAAAACAATGGACATTACTATAGTCCTAAATATTTAAGCTAAAAGAGCAGGCTGACTAAGAGTCTCCTGGAACATAATTTATAAAGGGTAAGGAATGAAAAGTGTGGAGACATGGATAATAGATCCAAAAGGTTCAAC